TTAAGTTGAAAGAGGGGAAAGCCTCTTTTTGCCTGGCTTATCACAAGAAAACTGATGTCAGGGTGGTGCAAATCAGGAGTAACACCACTGAAATTAGCTGGCTTGTACTTGGTGTAAAACTAGTGTAATTTAAAAGCTGTGCTAGGTCTAGAAATTGTACCATTACCTCAATGTGTTGCAAAGCTTTCACTGTCCTATTAGCAGCTTATTTTCCACTTGGTGTTTTCATTATCATCTGCTAATGCATATGAATGCCTGACAGCTTCTTCTGGGAAATTTTCAGTTGTGGTCATCAGAAGATTCATTTATTTAAAATGAATTGCTTTGTTCAACAATATCTTAACTGACTCAGAAGCAGATTTTCAGGCAATTTTCAACATCTTTACTGAGGGATACAAGAAAATGGGACCAACGCTTAACATTCAGAAGACTAAGGTCCTCCACCCACAAGCTCCTAATGAGCAGTTCTTTGCTCCAGAAATCCAGATCCCCTATGAGACTATGGAACATTGAGTATTTCCTGTACCTCGGGATCCATCTCTTGCAGAAGGCTGACATCAACAAAGAAATCCAACATCACCTCAAATGTGCAAGTGCAGCCTTTTGGATACCTGAAGAACCAGGTGTTCAAAGATTGTGACATCAGATCTGAAACCAAGTTTATGATTTATCAAGAAATCATGATCCCCACCTTCCTGTATGGAGCTGAGCCACAGGCAACATACAGGAAACATCTAAAGTTGTTGGAAAAGTACCATCAGTGCTGCCTGTGGAAGATCTTCTGAATCCAGTGGGAAGACAAATGCACTGATGTTAGCATCCTCCTGCAAACAAACACCACAATTATTGAGGTGATGATTATCTGACATGAACTTCATTGGGCCGGCCATGTCATCCAGATGTCCAACTCCAGACTCCCAAAGCAAGTTTTAGTCTCCCGGCTCAGCCAAGGCATATGCTCAAGAAGATGGCAGAGAAAGCGCTTCAAGGACATCCTTAAGGCCAGCTTAAAAAAATGCAGCATCAGTGTCAACTTGTGCAAAACTATCACCCAGGACCACCCCAAATGGAGGAAGAGTCTGCTGCAGGCATCTCATTACTTTGAAATCTCACAACAGCAACAGGAAATGGAAAAGCTGGAGCGGCACAAACAGTGTGTTGTGGACCAAATCAAAAATCCGTTGCCACCCATCTCACACAGAAACACATGTCCAAGCTGCAGTAGAGTTTGTTGATCCCAGATGGGCCTCATAGCCATCTTCAGATACACAGAGAAGACAATCATGGAAGACAATCATCCTCAACTGCAAGGGATTGCCGAAGAACAGTGTCAGCCAACCTCAGGATCAGCATTCTTAACTGTCGGTTAAGGGTACAGGCAGATGTGATATTTTTATTGATATCATATTATACTAATATAAACTGTTACAATGTAACTGTTAGGTCTGCATATTTCTGTAGCAATACCATACTTCATTCAGGGATAAAGTTACAGTGCTTTAGTAATTGTATTACAACACAGTCATGCAGATTTAACAGTAACAGCATAACAACTGATGTGTGCTCCCATGCACCTCCCCTTTTAAAGCAGTTAAAACACAATGGACAACAATTTGGGCCTGCAGGTCATATGGGGAATTTTGGTGAGCTGTCATGGGCCAGATCAGCACCTCCCCCCACCTCCCTGTGCAACAACTCACCAAAGCTCCGTGTGTGGGATGGGGCTGGGAGCAGTGTTCAGGAGTGGGACAGGTGGGAGAGGCTGTGATCATGGGGCGGGGGCACAGCGCTGTGACAGTATGGGGCCAGGGCCTGGGGCAGAGCTGCAATCTGCTGCCTGCACATGCTTGCAACGGGTCCTGCTTTCACAGGCAGGGATGTGCAGGGAGTGCATCGCGACACTGCCCCAGGCCCCGGCCCCACACTGTCACTGCCCCCAAGATCCTGGAGTCAGCTCCAGACACAGCTCTTTGCCTGCCTGCAGCCCCATCCCATCCACCTGCCCATGTGAGTCCCGGCCAGTCTCCACGGAGACCCTGGGATCATGGGGGTGGTAACAGAGCAAGGCCAGGGCAGAGCTGCAATTCACCCAAATGTTCCTGCCCGTAGAACCAGGGCTTTGCCCCAGCCCCATGGTGTAACCATCCCATGATCCTGGGGTCTCCATGGAGACTGGCCAGGAGCTATGTGGGCAGGGCGCTCCACCAGGCAGACATGATGTGGCCGTGGGTGGGTGTGGAGCTGTGTCCAGGGCTGGGGCTGGGATGTTGGGGCAGAAACAGCACAGGGCTGGGTCTGGCGTTGGGGATGGAGCAGAGCTGTCGTCCATTCCCTGCTCATCCCTGCCCATGGAACCGGCACCTGTCGCAGAGGCATACGGGCAGCTGATCATGGCTCTGCCCTGGCCCTGTGCTGTCACTGCCCCAAGATCCTCAGGTCTACCCCAGCCACAGCTGCCCACCTTGCTCCCAGACACTGCTCCCCACTGGCTTGCAGCCCCAGCCCAGCTGCCCGGCTGAGCAGCCTGCCCACACGGGTTCTGGGTTCTGCCCGCAGCAGTGAGTACAGGGCGGACAGACTGGCATGCCCTGGCAGCGGGGCTGGGTCCGGCAGCAGCAGCCAGAAGGAGCTGCCACCACTGCAGTGGCTGCTGGGAAATGGAGTTCAGCTGCCATGCTACCCCAGTCCTGCTGTGCACCCTGGGGTGGTGGGACCAGCCACATGTACCACAGCTGGGCTGCCCCATGCACCTGGGCAAGGTACGACCAAGGGACCTGCCATAGGCTAGACAAAATCCCTTGGCGGGCCATATATTGCCCACCCCTGAGTTAAAAGGTGTCTGCCTGTAGCCTAAGTCATGCCCATAGATAAAGAATCAATGCAAAATGCCCATTTTCTTTTACAGATGATCCAGGATGATTTGGCAGAGCTTGTGGTTCAAATGGAAGACCTAGAGAGCCTCGTTCAATCTAATGCCACCCACAAGCATAAAATGAACCAGCTTTCAGCTGACTGTAAGGCACTGAAGAAATCTCTGGAGGTAATTTGTCAGTTGTTGAGGAACATAAAGGGACAGTTACAAAAAGGAGCCTTTTGTATGTTGATGATGTCTACTTTAAACTGCTGATGTTTCTTCCTGCAGGGGAAAATGGGGCTGAGTTTTTGTAGCCTGATCTGTCTTTATGGTTTCCCAGTTTTCTGTACTTTAACCTTTCCCACAGTACATTGGGACTACTACTGTTTGACTTGCACATGTTGGACCAGGAGATTCTAACAATATAATTGTATGCTACAACCCCTAGTGCCCATGCATTTATACCAATATAAAAGTGTTCTGGATCAGCATAATATTCAGGAATAAGCTATCCAGCATAAGCACTCTTATACTAATACAGCTGTGCCCACTCTAGAGGTTTCATTGCTTAATTATAGCACTGTTGTTAAAACTGTATGCATTTTATGCATGGCCAGGCCCTGAGGAGTGGAATCGATTCCCATTTAAAAACTGTAAACAAGTGATTCTCAACCATAGTGATTTGGCATCCTGTGATGCTATGAGATCCTCTTAAGGGTGCTGCATGGGCAAGAGGAGCTGTGATTTTTTATGATAAAAAAAACAAACACCAAATATCTAGGTATTTAGAATGTATTGTATTATAATGATTCGGGGACTGGGAGGCTTCCATATTACTTTAAAAGTGTAATTCAGTAAAAAAAATTGTGTTCAACTGATACCAACATATATAATGGCGTTTCATTTTAATTAGAGAAAAACATGGTTCTGGAGTTTTTAAATCAGAAAATTTTAGATTTTTAGTCGGAGACCTTTGGATTATTCGACAGAGAAAACCAGGATCCCTGGTCATCAGTATGTTTATTATATACCTAAAAGTTAATGAATCAAAGCCACATTGCAGTTACTTCAATGGCTGGTTTAGCGTAAATACTTTTAGTTGCTTGTAAACATAGTGATAAAATCTTCCATCCCAAAGCAAATTTAGCAGAAAAGCCTGAAAATGCTCTCAGTTTGATCTTTCAGTAGATGGTTATCCATAACAAAACATTACTCTAATGTATGCCACAGAGTTGTAGTTTAGTAAACAAATTAATCACTGAAATAGTATTTTTCCATGCCTATATATCCCAGGACAGATCCCCTTCTCTTTTCTATATTTGTATTATAAGTATGACTTTTGGTAAAAAGAGCAGAAGACCTCCTCTGTAGAAGCCAATACTGAATTATAGGATGTTTCATTTGTAAAAAAGGAAACTATTCTGGTACCTAATGCGCCACCAAATGGCTAAATGCAGATCTGCAGGAGGCTGAAGACAAGGTTTATTCTCTGGAATGTTGCTAAAAAACTAGTCTGGACCTGCTTGCTTTAGTAGTGTTTTTCTTTCCTTTCTCTATCTCTGTTTCATCTGTATAGCACTTATCCTCATTGTCTCAGGAGTGAAACTGCTGTCTGTTTGCATTCTGTGGCTGATATATTCTGGTCATCCCTGATACTTTTAGGAGACGATAGAACAGAGTGAGAAGCACGTTCAGAGACACTGGAAGTTTAATGAGAAACTGTCAGGCCTTCAGCAGTGGATTGCAGTGACCGAACAGAAGTTGGAATCCTATCAGGGTGCTAATGGAGAGCGAAACATGGAGAGTAGAGTTGCAGACCTTGAGGTGAGGAACACATCAGCATGCAATGTCATCTGTTCAGTGTGTGGGCATTCAAAGTTATCCTTGTGGTGGGAGGACATTCAGAGTGCCCCTTGGGGGAGGACATTTGAGACAAGGTTTGAGCTGCTGGGCTCCCACTTTTTTGCTATATCAACTAGGGGATTGATTTTTGCTGTGTGTAGTGGAGATGTGGGGCTGGCTCAGGTCCATGAATCACTAAGCTGCTTTTGAAATATCTGCAACCTCATCAAGGAAAAAACCTTTTTTGCAAGTACTGTAGATTCCTCCTGTTAGGAAGTCCTCTCTAGGCAAACAAATACATGCCTTTACTTCTGACAGCAGAAAACACTACAGTACTAAGTTGTGCGTTACATTATCATCTTATTTTTGCCTTGTATGTATTTATTGGTATCGAAGGGTATGCCATATTTTCTTGCAAACAACATGCACCTTTTTCCAAAAACAACAGCTGCTAGAAATTGGAGTGTGCATTATATATGAGAAATACAGTAAGAGCAGTTTCTGCCACTTCATGTGAACATGCAAATAATATTTGCAGTGATCCACAGGGAGTACAACAATGACCAGGTTACCACCTCCGCTCCTTCCGAGCTGCTGCTTGTTAGTTACTTACTACCAGGAAAGATCTTTTTTCTTTCATTCTGCCTTTCAAAATAAGGTACATATTATATTCAAGGATGTGTTTTATGGAAGGATATATGGTACTTCCCTTTTTCTGCTTATGTTCAGATTTTCTAACATGGAAGTATATTAGAGACTAGAATCACTTACACTGGTAATTTAGGATTATGAGAGAGTAGGGCTGGACAGGAGCTCACGAGATCATGTGTTCCAGTTTTCTGGTCAAGGCAGGATCATCACTGACTAAACCATCCCAGTGAGATATCTGTCTACCCTGGATTTGAAAATTTCCAGGGATAGAGATTCCATGACTTCTCTACTTAGCCTGTTCCAATTCTTAACCACTTTCATAGTCAGAAATTCTCCCTAAT